GAAGTCAGCTAACTATGGTGCCTGAGCCCAGTTTGCTTGTTTCTATAAATACAATTGACATTTTGTCTATGTGTATATATGTATTTGTATAGGTGATCCTTCTCCACAGAGGTATTTCTAAATGGTTTAGAAACGTTCAAGATCCTCTGATTGCCCCCTTATCACATGCTGGGCTGAAGAAAAGTCATGGTCCATGTGAAAGAGGGAGAAAACCTCTCCCTCCACCTTTGCATTCACCACTGCAGAAGAACATCCACAAATTACCTCCCTCTACGTTTACAAATTACCTCCCTCTAAATTACCTACACCTACATTACAGTAGTTTCAATGAACAGCAAACAATGAAAAGCAATAAGCTGTGTATTGTAGTGGGCCCTGGATATGTAAACTGAAACTAAATTTGATATAATGAACTTTAACATTTAAGTTCTTGAACACTGGAGGTAGGAAACTGATTTTTTAAATGCTTTACTTTGAAAGCATTACAGATTCACCTGAGCTTGCAAAGCTAGTGCAGAAAGGTCCCAACTTCCCTCTGACTGGTTCCCCAGGGTTACACCTTATGTACGGTATCAGATCAAGAAACTAACATTGGTACAAAGTACGTGTGCAAAGTACATGTGCCACTCCTTTTATTTTATTATGATTCATGATTCAGAGCCTTCCATCACCACAAAGATCTTCCTCCTGCTGCTCCCTTGGAGAGACACACAGTCTCCTCCCACCATCATCCCTCACACTGACACTCATTCATTTGTTCCCCGTCTCTAATAGAATGAGAAGAACCCAACTTTTGATCCTGCTGCTGTGTGACCTTGGGTGAGTCACCTCCTGTTCTGGACTTCAGTTGACTCATCTGTAATAAGGGTGAAATACGTCAGCATTCCTCTCAAATTTCCACAAAGTGCTAGGATCTTAAAATTTCCCAGGGATTATGAGGAAAATGGTCTTTTCTTTTATGGACAAACTAAGGGAAAACTTTTTAAAAATATATATAATTATTTTTACATCCTTTTGTGTCTTTTCCCATCTCATTTGCAGTCCCCTTGGGCTTCCCATCACCAAATCACCCATGTGCCATCACCATAGTCCAGTGCATTCCCCTCTCCCCACTGTTTTTGATCCCATTCACCATTCCACCCCCATAAAATGTCTCTAGTAAATGGCTGTTCATTATTCTTAGTATTTTCTCGCCTGGTCCATTATATAATGCTCCTGCTATGAACGAAACCATCCGGTATTTTTCTTTTTCTTTCTGGCTTATTTCACTAAGCATGATCTTTTCCAGCTCCATCCATGTTGCTGCAAAAGACATGTGTTTCTCTTTTTTGGTTGCTGAGTAATATTCCATTGTGTATATGTACCACATCTTTTTAATCCAGTCATGTACTTTTGGGCATTTGGGCTGTTTCCATGTTTTTCCAATTGTAAATAAAGCAGCAATAAACATGGGGGTGCAGGTATCTTTTTGAATCAGTGTTTTTGTGTCTTTTGGGTAGATACCTAGGAGTGGGATTGCTGGGTCATAGGGAAGCTCCATGTTTAGCAGTTTGAGGAACCTCCAAACAGTTTTCCATAGTGGTTGTACTAGTTTGCATTCCCGCCAGCAGTGCAGGAGAGTTCCTTTTTCACCACATCCTCACCAAAATTTGTTGTTGCTAGTTGTTTGAAGATGTGCCATTCTCACTGGGGTGAGGCGGTGTCTCATTGTGGTTTTAATTTGCATCTCCCTTATTATGAGTGATGCTGAACATTTTTTCATATGCTTGTTGGCCATCTGCATTTCCTCTTTGGAGAAGTGTCTTTTTAGCATTTCTGCCCATTTTTTTGTGAGAAAATTTTTTCCCAATCAGTGGGATGTCTGTTTGTTTTTTGTAATGTCTCTTTTGATGAACAGAAGCTCTTTAACTTAGTGTAGTCTTACCTATTTATCCTTGCCTTCACTATCGTTGCATGGGTGCTCTATCTTTAAAGACGTCGCTGATGTGTATATTGTGTAGTGTTTGGCTCATCTTTGCTTCCAGGTATTTTATGGTTTCTGTTCTTATGTCTAGGTCTTTAGTCCACATCGAGTTGATTTTTGTGTATGATGTGAGGTAGTGATCTAGTTTCATTTTTTTTGCATGTAGCTTCCCAGTAGGGAACACTGTTTTAAGGAATAAAAATGGGTTTCTTTGCTGGGAATTCTCAGCCCTTTACTATGTTAAAGTGGGTCATAAATCTTCCTCCTTGAGGTGTGTATACATATGTATCTGAGCATAGATTACACTTCCTTAGGCTCAGCAGACCTCTCCTGTCTCGCCCACTGCTCTCCTCAGCAGTGTATTTCAGTCAATCTGCCTGTTCTGCTCCCCCAGTTCTTATATGCATAAACAAATCTTTTATAAAAAAAGAAAAAGGTTTTTTTTTTAAAAAAGATTTATTTATACAGAACCAGGGTACAGGCCAGAGATGCGGAGGGTGAGAGGATTCCCCAGAGAGAGAGCGGGGAGCAGAACAGGCAGACTGATGAAGTACACTGCTGAGGGGAGCAGCGGGCGGGTAAGGAGAGTTCTGTCGCGCCATATGGTCACCTCCGGGGCAGGCAGGGATCGAATTCATGCTGAATTGGCTTTAGCTTCTCAGTGCTGTGCTCTAACCCACTGCACCACCAGGGAGGACCAAAAAAGAAAAAGGGTTTTTTTAGGGAATATACTTTGAGAAATCCTGTGGCTGAGGATCTTTGAGGTGCCCTGGTATATGGCATAGAGGGTTAAATCGTGTCTTCCAAAAGATGTGCCCACCTGGAACCTCAAAATGTGACCTCATTTGGAATAAGTGTCTTTGCCAGTTTATTAAAATGAGGATCTGAAGGATCATCCCAGATTAGGGTGAACCCTAAATTCAGCAAAAAGGATTCAGGACAGATCACACAGGAGAACACATAGACATGGAGAAGACGGTTGTGTGAAGACAGAGGCAGAAATGGGAGGCAGCTGTTCACCCAGGACCCTGAAAATTGCAGGCAGCCCCAGAAGCAGGAGGGAGCCTCCAGAAGGAGCAGCTCCCCGCCCCCCACCACCCAACACACACACACATCACGACTTTAGACTGTGGTCTCCTGAGATGAGGGTGCATTCTGTTGCTTCGGGTCATCCTGGTTATGGTTGTTAGACCCAAGTCTAGGGAACGAATGCACTTTATTAGTAATCTGGGAGTGGGGGATATGAATTGAGGAGGGGTCTCCTCTAGGTCTCCGTAGTCAGGCCCTTAGCACATGGGGCCCCTCTGCCTGGGTACCTTCTCCAAGCCCTTTGATCTCCAGCTCCTTCTCTTTCTTCTGGAATTAACTTGAATGTCACTTGCTGGGAGCCATCTAAAGCTGTCCCCTGCCATGTCACTTCTCTGATATCACACACTTCCTTGTCTTCGCAGCACTGAGCCACAGGGGAAGCTCCCACCTGCTTGTTGGTGGTTCCTTAGTGTCTCTTTCCCACGAGGCAGGGTGATGTCTGTGGCTCTCCTTTGCACAGACCTGGAATAGTGCTTGCCCCTTGCTCACGCATTTAGTGACAGTGAGGAAGAAAGAATGGCAGTTTCTGCACCAGGTCCCAGCATTTGGTTTGGGGGTGACTACTGTCATCAGGCCACCTTACCACCATCTGGGTGGATTTCAAGGCCCATGGCCTTGAAGAAGGGAGGAGTGGCCCGGCTGAGAGAGGCTTCCTCCGCTGTCTGCAAACTCACTACTTCATAGTCATCCATGGTGCTGGGGGTTGGGGTACCACAGAGAGCAAATCTAGCTCTGGGACTTGTCTAACTGGAGCTCCCACATGGACATAAAACACCCACATATCTTCCTTCTGCGCCCCACTCATCAATTCCTGACACTTAACGGAACTTCCTATGTCTGGACTCATTTTCCTACCAACTCGGGCCCAATGTTGTCAGTAGTTGATCTTCTGGGCCTGAGGACTCCTGTGCAGACATCCCCAGAACCCGCTAGTATTGGGCCCCAAAGCCCCTAGGAGGAGTGTCATTAACGAAGCCCTGGGGGGAATCCCTGACAGCAGTCAGGCCAGTGCTGCCTCCAGTCCTCCAGGTCAAGAGCCTTGGCCACAGCTCTGTTCACCTGGTGAGGAAGGCCATTGCTGGATTACTGCAAAGGTGGAGGGGAGGCGCCACCCCCGCCAGCCTCCCACAGGTTTCTCTCCCATGTTGAGGTGGAAATGCTTCTTTCTTCTCAGGGGCTAACCTTCAGTGAGGGAGGAGGGTGGGAAGAGAAGGGGGGATCTGGCTCTCCCCTGTGGCCTCTAGGAGATTCCAGGGTGCAGCAGATCAAGGTCTCCAGACACTGCCCCACATGCTGGCCTCCCTTGTGCCCCTGCCATCCCCAGGGCAAAGGGCAGGAACTAAACTCTAAGTCTCTGAGGAAGGCAGAGGGAGCAGGGTTGGGTGGTCACGGGCCCAGGCTCAGCTTCTGTGCAGTGTGCAGCGCCCAGAGACTGCAGCGGCAGGGAGAGACCTCGCATGGCCCCCCAGACAGCAGCCCTGGAGGCTGAACCAGGGTGGGACGTGGGGCACAGTCCCCCACAGTGTCTGGGGTCACCTCCCTGCTCACTCCCCCATAACCAGAAGTCGACTCTCAGGGACGCCAGCTGGAATTTAATGAGTGCATGTTGGGGAGGACAGTGACACCCTCCGGGGAGGGGTGTCTCCCCTATCCACAGCGTGGAAGGTGCTCAGAAGTCAGCCAGTGCAATGCCCCACGGCACAGAGAGAAGTGCCCCTACAATGGCACAGAGCTGGTCCAGTGCAGAGACTAGACTCTGTCCATTCAGAGTCCCACGAGGGGACACCTGAGGGGACACCTCAGACTGCGGCATTTTCCTCCTGGCAGCCTGGCATCTGACACTGTTGCCAAGAGAAGCCACAAACAGGAAGATGGTGCAATCCAGGGCCCCTAGGGGTCCTGGCTGGATCTGGGAGGACACTGATGGCAGCTCCAGGCGGGAGGTGTCTCAGAAGGCTGGGTTGTCTATGCCCATGCGAGCTCCAGAATGTTCTTCAGGCCTGATGCTGTAAGGAGGGGGCGGCTCTGTGGGGAGCAGGGCAGGCTTCAGGATAACCTGCAGGGAAAAGAGGGGGCACAGAGACTCCTCAGGGCCTGGTGCTGGCCAGGCCACTGGAGCGAGCCCACTGTGACACGTTTGCCAGGGAGAAGCTGACCCCCAGCCTGGGTCAGCTTCCGAGGGCCCAGAGCTGGTGTCAGACTTTCCGTGCCCCTTAGATCCAGACAACAGGGAGGCAGGTGGCCACGGGCAGCAGAGGGATGGGGCGGGCACCCACCTCATCGTACGGGGGCGGAGCCTCAGGGATGGATACCCCGACCCTCTCTGGGGTATCCAGAGAGGCAGACATGGGTGAGAAGCCATTGGAAGGCCTCAGTGGGGGTCCCACTCGATCCATTGGGATGTCCAGCTCTGGCTTTCCGCAGTTGCGACAGAAGCGCCTGATCAAGCCACAGATGCACAGGAAGGGGAGGGTGACCAGGAAGGCGATGATGAAGGCCCTGCAGGGAGGAGGCACCAACCCGCTGAGGCTCTGCTCTGCCCACAGCCTCCTGCCCAACCTACCCCCCCACCTCCCCAGGACCGGCAGCCGCCCCAGGGGAGGGGCGAGCTGCGAGGCTGCCCAGACTCACCTCAGTGGGCCGGAGAAGATGTCCTGCTCTTGGCAGCAGGAGTCACCGCAGCATGTGAGTCCTTCAGGGCATCTGCTGGGGGCACAGAGAGGCGTGTGGCAGGGGCCTGCGCTCCCACCGTCACTAGGGCAGAGCTGGGCCCTCGCTCCCCTCGGTGCTCAGTGGCAGGAACCTGACTCAGGACCTGGCCTGGACCCAGGCTCACGGCAGCATGGACCTGGGCTCTGGGGTCAGCTATGTCCCTCACAGGGCCTCAGCCTCTCCCACTGTGAATTGGGTGTGACATGAACCCAGCTGACAGGGCGACCCGCTGCCCCACTGGGCACAGGCGGAGGCCTCACCACCACTCCAAGGCCATGCAGGAGGCCGTGGGAGTGGCCAGTGGGAGTGGGAGGGCCCTTGCTGGTGCCCCTGAGGGGGAGCATCTGGGACGCACTTGGTGCCCACACCCTGGGCCCAGGCTCTTGGTATTATTCTGATGGTGTTTTTTCCCACTTGGGGCACCTCAGACTGCAGTGGGGCTGGACTGGGCTCATCCCCCACAGCCTGCAGGCTGGCTGGGGATGGAGGGGGAGCCACCCTGGCCCACTGGGCTCAAGGTGTGAGAATACTGATGAGGTGCTCCTCCCCCCACACCCTGAGGGCAGGTGGGCAGGCTTAGGGGTCTCTCCTCACCCGGAAGTCACATCTACACCCCAACTTACACAAGGAGACCACAGTGGGCTGCAGCCTGTAGGAAGAAAGAGGCAGAGATCAGGTCTCCCCCAGGAACAGGCTCTCCCCACAACGCTGCTGCCCACGGGTACCTCATGGGTCAGGGTCTTCCCCCAAGTCACTGGCCCCCCATTTCTCCTGGGGCAACAGTTGGAGCCCCAGCTGCCACCTCTGGCCTCAGCGCTCCTTGCTCTCAACCGTAGCACCCCAAACCTATGTAACCTTATTCCCTTTTCTTTCTTTTTTTTTTAAGATTTATTTATCCATACAGAACTGGGGTACAGGCCAGAGGTGCAGGGATGGTGAGAGGATTCACCAGAGACAGAGTGGGGAGCAGAACAGGCAGATGGACGAAGTACACTGCTAAGGGGAGCAGTGGGCGGGTCGGGAGCAGCAGGCGGGTCAGGAAAGGTCTGCAGCGCCGTGTGGTCACCTCCGGGGCAGGCGGGGATCCAACTCACGCTGAAGTGGCTTTAGCTTCTCAATGCTGTTCTTTAACCCGCTGCGCCACCAGGGAGGGCCCATTCCCTTTTCTTAAAAAATAATTTATTTATGCAGTTAAGTACTGGGGTACAGGCCAGAGGTGCAGGTGGTGAGAGGATTCTCCAGAGACAGAGTGGGGAGCAGAGCAGGCAGACTGACGAAGTACACGGCTGAGGGGAGCAGCGGGTGGGCCAGGAGCGGTCTGCTGCGCCATGAGGGTCAGCGCCCTGGCTGGAGCTGTGGTTAGATTCATAGTAATGCGCTCTGACCCCTCTAACCCGTGGCACCACCAGGGAGGGCCCTCATTCCCCTGCTCAACAGAGGAGGAAGGAGTGAGTTCATCTATGGTCTCCTTGCTAGCATCTCACCACACCAGCAGCCACATTCACTGGTCCCAAGGCCTCCTGCCCACCCTTCTGACCTGTGTCCCCTCAATGGCCTTGGTGTCAGAGGCCCAGGAATCAGAGCTCTTCCTGCCTCCTAGGTTACTCCAGCTCTTCCCTTCACTGTGTTGAGCCTCTTGGCACAGCTCTTTCTAACATCTCACACAGGAAACACTTTGTCTCCTCAGATGCCTGTCTCATGTGAAAGGCAACCTCCAGGGGTGGGGAGTTGGCTTTTTCGTCACCCTCACATCTGGCAGGATGAATGAGGCCCTCTCAGTGATCACCTGGTTTCATCTTCCCTAGGTTCCTTCCAGGCAGTGGGAGAGGGGTACAGTTTTGGGGTCTGGAGGGTGATGAGTGGGGGTTTTTCTATCACCCACACCTCGCTCCTGCCAGCCTCAGTGCAGGCAACCAGGGCCAAGAATCAGAAGTAGCCTGGGCAAAACCACACGACTTTAGGCCTTTATGAAGAACGTGGACCACAGGTGACTGCTCTCACAGCCAAGGTGCCCTGGCAGCCCACAGGGGACAGCGCTGCTGTGCTCAGGTCCTGGGGATGTCCTTCCCGGCCAGGGAGTGACCGGAGTAGGAGGGAACCCTGCAGGAGACCCACAGAGCCAAGAGGGGCCCACAGAACTGGGGACAGGCCAAAGTGGGGAGAGGCAGACATCAGCCCTGACCCTCAGAGCTGGACGCTCCTTCCTCTCCTGGCAGAAATGGGTGCTGAGTCCAGTTGGTTTTTTTTTTTTTTTGGGGGGGGGTGCTTCTCCAGATGCTCTCCTCCACTTTAACCAGGCTGGTCTTATCTGAGGCTGCTCACAGGCTGCTTTTTATCCAGTGTCAGGGATCTTGATCTTGGTATTGGGAACCCCGTTTATTTACACATCATTTGGGAATATTAACAGCACCTGGACCTGCAGTTGTGGGAGGAATAATCAAGAGGATGTGCAGCTTTGTGGTGCTGGTACCACCTGTGGCCAGGGAGGACCAGTGCTTCCTGGGCAGAAAGAGTCTGGTTGTGTGGCCCTGCTCTGTCCTGGGGAGCAGCCTACATCCTCCCTGGGAGTCTCAACCAGACTTAAAGGTCTTTTCACACCTGCATGGGGTGTAGAAGGTGCATTGGTGTTGCCAGGACTATCTCCTTCCTGGACTGACCGGATCACACTTCCCCATGGGCTTTAGAGTTCATGTGGGAGCAAGGGATTCCTCTTGCAAGAATCAGGACTTCAGAGGACACTCCAGCTGGGGTCAGGCGGCCAGGTCAAATCCTACCCCAGGCTGGAACCCTATCTCAGTCCAGAGGGCAGGGCAGCCTCCTGTGCCCCAGGGCCCAAGCAGGAGAACACAGCCCCAAGCGCTAGGACTTCCCCAAGGTCACCCAGCACTGGAACAGAGCTGGGAGGCAGGCTAGCCAGGTGTCCAGACCTCAGCACCCCCCCCCCACACACACACACACTGCCGGCTGTCCCAGCTCTCTGGCTGCGCAGAGGGAAGAGCCAAGGCTCCCGTGGGGTCAAAGTCCCCACTCACAGAGGCGCTGGTGTCAGGTGCGGGGCTCTGGGCGGACCCAGCACAGGGCCTCAAGGCAATAGCCCCCTTCATCAGGGCCACCTGCCCTGTCTGTCCTCCACAGCAGAGAGAGAAAGGAGGGCGCTAACAGCGTGTAGTCATGGGAAATGCTGACAGGGGAAGGGAGTGACCCGGCCAGCAGCAGGTCCCAGACCGGGAGGCCTCAGTCCCCAGAGGCTTCACTGCCCAACGCTCACCTGTTGGAGGCCAGCCAGCAGGCCCAGCAGCAAGGTGGGTCGGAGGCCGGGCACCCGGGAGTCAGACATCCTGGCATGGGGGCAGCTGAGCTTCCGCGTTTAGTAGGGGAAGGAGGGGAGAGATGAGGACCTCTTCCAGGTCCCTACACCTACCGCCCCGCCTCAGGAGCAGGGCGGAGCTTAGCAGCCTAGATGGGCCGGTCCTGGGCCTGAAGGCGGAAGGTAGAAGGGAGGTTTGGTTGAAATTTGGTAACTGGGCAATAGAATCGGTTAACTGGGGGGGCGGGG